AAATTTTAAAAACTGTTTAAACACTAAAGTAGAGATACAAAAAACTTCCGTTTTCTTCAAGTGCAGGAGTGGCAGCTCATTCTCAATTTTAGTGTATTATCCCCTTTTATGTTCACTTCTCAAAGAAGAAAAGCTGCAAAGATCAAAATGCCATGATATAAGCCCCAAGCCAGCAACGGGGCCCTTTGTTCCGATGTTGACTTTTCACCCTTTAAGTCCATTTCCTCGTTCTCCTCTTTCCATCAGGAGTTTACTGCTCACAAACACAAACACAATAGACAAAGTCCAAAGAACTTTGCTTGAAAGTACAGAAAAAAAGTTGAAGTTCACCCGTGGACCATATCCAGTTTTCTGCCACCACAAAACTCTAATTCAATATCTCTGTGCAGGAGAAGCAGATCACAGAAAGGAAAGGGCAAAACTTTCCTTTTATTTACTTTTCAGTGTGTTACATGTGACTACTTTTGTAGAAACTTGTTTTAGTAGGCATGCAGTGGTCAAGTTTCACCACTCACATCAATTACTAATAAATTTAACTTCACAAATTTTAAAATTAGAATAATCAAATTATAAGTACACTATATCTAAACCTAAATTATTATAGGGCAGATAAAGTCTTCTAAACTTTTTCATTTCCTCTGTGGCCCAGGTTTCAAAGAGCAAATTTGTAATCACGAATGAAAACAGTGTCTTGGAGAAAGGAAAGGGTACCAAATTCTTCAAGGAACAAATTGTATAATTCATTTTAGAACTTCAAATAGGATGGGTATGTTCAGCTAATAATACCACAAAAATACTCAATTCACCCTTTAGAAATAAAAAAACAGAAAATTCAAGATTTTAATTCAAGAAGTGTTTATGAGCAAATGGCATTTGCAAAGCTTCTCGGCTGGCATGGATTAAGGATATTGTCTATAGAGTTTATCAGTTTACAGCCTAGAAGGACTGTGCACCAACGAGACACTTTAACAAAATAAAACAATCGAGTTCAGATACAATCTACTGAAATATAGGTGAGGGTAAAAATAGGAGCTTACATTTCAATTCTGAGAAAATTAAGAAAAAAGAAGCAATTGTGGTCTATGATAAATGAGTCCTTCTTAGCTGAGAAATCAGAGTATCTTCCTATCTCATGTGCTCGAGTTGTGCCTTTTGTTTGTTTGTTTGTCTGTTTTGGTTCCAAAATGTTTCTTTCATCTTACAACATAAGAAAACTAGAATTGCACCAGTGAGGTCATGTGACGAATTTAATCTTGAAAGAAGCTGACTTACAGGGTTGCATTATTGCAGCAGTTGGTGTAAAATCGGAAAGATCATGGATTTTTAAAAGTATATTGTTATCACATAAAACTGTGTTCGTTTGGGGACAGAAAATATATTGTAAGCAACTTTTCTATGTAAACACACTGCTACCCTCACATCTTTGATGTGACTGGACGTGAGCTGTCATGAGGAACCTAGGGCACACTCCCTGCACTCCATGACCTGTACATCAAGAAATCATGGGGACAGCCAAGAAGTGGAACCACTTTGTTACAACCTGCATTTATTTAAGCAAACCAAATGTGTCCATAGGAAACGAATACATCATAATTCTTTATAGATAGAAGACATAGAATAGTAAGACCCTGAAGAGAGAATATGTGAGAACATGGTTCTATCATGAGGAACACTTGCATGGACCGTATGAATGCCACAGCCAACACGCCTGCCTGTCATCCCCTCCTAGCGTTATCCAAGTGGTTCAATAGATACCAATCTGATTTACACAAATACTAATGATTGCCATAATCTTGATGGGATTGTGACTACAATGAGAATAGCTCCATGTGCTATTCCAATGCTGCTGTACAGTCTTCAGGAGAAGCAATGTCTTATCACATATTTACTGTGACACCCAATATGATGTGAACTCATTTGCATAGGTTAGTCCTTTGGACAGCACAATTTTCTCTGGTCCACCAAGGAGTCACAGTGTAGAGGAAAAAAACATGAATTAAAGCATTTCTACTAAAATACATTTTAATAGCTGGTGTTAACAATTTGCATAACAAAAGCCAAATTGTATTAATAGTATTGTATCCTTCTATAAGCCCCTTCATTTGAAAAAACATTTAATGTTTCCTTCAAAATCATTATACTCTCAAAGTTAGTACAGTCTTAAAAATTAATCATCAACCACAATTATATATATTTCAAAGAAAACAGAAGTCAAACTACACAATTCAAATTTGTGTTTTTCTCACAGGTCACAACCCAACATTTCCACATGTATCATGCCTGTTACACGCTTGGTGCCACTTCCAAAATGCTCAGCAATTCATTGTATGGACATGAAAGAACCGAACTGCAATAGTTTTCTCTTTTTCCTTCAAAATAAACCATCTTTAACAACTGGATTACAGTGAGTATACACTATGCAAACAAGATGCCATATGTCAGACACAAAAAGCATATGGATGTCCCATGCGTATACTGAAGTCATAGCGACAGCTAGGAAGGAAATTTTCCCAAGGATCCTTCTAGCCTTGGGTATTCTAGTAGTCTTAAGCATCCCAGATGATGGCCACAGAAGCCTTGACTTTTTGGATCACCAATTGTTGGCAACTACTTGCCTGGAAAGTGTCCTAAGGACATGGGATACTTAAGAAAGAGACTTTCATTTTAGCATCCTTAAGTTAGTTTACACAGCTCCCTGTTTAACTGAAGCTTCATCATTACGTTGTGTTTCCTCACACAAATGCAATGTAGCCACATTCGATTATCAGAGGCAAACAGCTAACATATAATCAACATATGAAGCTCAACTTATGCAGTGAATTCAATCTCATAATATACTTAATCTATCTCACAATAAGTATTTTAAATCTCAAACCTAAAGTTAATGTTTATATATCTCAACTATATATAAAATCCACAAAAATCTTTTCAGAAATAAATGGGCAAGTCAGAATTTTCTAAAGTTCTAAACCTTCAGAGCGAAAATACAACCAGCTACCACCTGTAACATCTATCAATCAGGGGCATTTCACTTCCCCACCACAAAAATATCAATCATGTATAATAAAATATGACTGTAGAATACACAGAAGCTCACTTGCTTGGTTTTCTTTCTAAGACCACAATGATAAATAAGCATAATCAAAAGGCACCTACTTTTGTATATATCTGTATTATAACATTAGTATAAACTCTATCCGGTTTAAATAGAGATGTATTTTCTTTATCTTTCCACTGAAAACATTCCATTGGAGATGTATGAGCCAGAAAACAAAGTTTAGAGCTTGAATTTCTGCTTTGCCTAATTCCTAGAGTGGTATAAACTCCAGCAGAGATGAGATCTGAAAAGCAAAACCACAGTAGAAAACTACACCTTTATCATCTTCAAGCTAAGGACCTTGGGGCAAGAGAGGGGCTTATCTAATCTCACCTATCCTTATACAAGGTGCTTGGGGAAATTGTGCTTAGACATTCCTGGTGTTCTTTGGAGGTCAGGAGGCAGGGAAAGATGCAGAGCTTCCGTGGAGAGCAGAGGCCAGATAACAATTTCTGTCTGTGCTGCGCTAAGGGTGTGCAAACATAACAAGAAAATGTCGAATATTCATTTTGCCACAGGTCAGAAATAGAAAGCTTTCTAGAGAACAAAAGCTGGCTAAAAAAATATTTACTACCAAAGCTTATAATAAAAGCATTATACTCTGCTGCTAAATGTTCTCAAGGGAAATATGATCCAAATACATTTGTCTTCTAGCCTTTTAGAAGTGTATCAAACTGCTCCTTGTGCTTCTGTCAGGCTTGAAAGCCCATCGCATTTAGGAAACAGGTGCATGTTCTCGGTGCTTGGCATTTACGCAGTCTTCTTTAACTTGACTTCTAAAGGGTTTATTTTTAAATTCTTCCCTAGCTGTCAATGTTATATGTGAGACACCGGCTGCCAAACTGCAAGTGGGTGGGAGGCATGTGGAAAGGGAAAAATGTGTTTTATAAAGTGAGGCTGCAAAAGATGGCACACTGGTATGACACATCTATGTTCCTGTATCCCCCTGGGATAAGTAGAATCCTTACGTGTGCTACTAGCAATTTCAAGGCCATCAAACTAAAACCTCAAGAACATGCAAGGTCTCCATTGGAAATAACTGCTCTTCATTGAATCTGGATCAGATCTTAATTCTAAAATTGTCCAAAGCATCTTGCTATACAAATACGTGAAGCTTAAAATTTTAGGGCACGTATTATCTAAATATGTATTGACTTTCACATTTAGCACATATGACTTTGAAATTGGTGAGTAGCAAAAACATGGAACAGGAAGCTGCCACCTTGTGGGAACTTCACTGATCACAGGAGTTGTTCCAGGTCAGCTTCTGTTGGCCTTCCTACACATGTGCTATTTATCAAAACTGGTACCTGTCCTACATTTAGCCCGGAACCTTAGTCAACAACTATTCTTTTTTTTTTTTTTATAATCGCACACACATAAAATGGTCTGTCTGGGAAAGCATAAAGACATAATATAAATGAGCAGGCTTATTGCCCTTACTTTTAATGCAAAGATTCTTTTTTTGCGAAATTATTGCAAATTCAGTTTGTCTTTATGGACGTGGGTGCAAGACACCAAAAATGATGGGGCATTAATCAAGTTCACCATGACCGGCCACTTAAATGACAGAAAATCAAGGTCGCTGCTTGTCTAGTACTCTACAAAATCCCTTTCCAGAAAAACCTCTAGTTATTTGCTGAATTTTCTCATTTCAATTATTTTAGATCAGTGTCATGGAGACGCAGTTCAGGGATATACAGCTCAAAGATTATGAAACTACTAATTTTCAAGAGTATGCTCTCACTCCTCAAGGGTGTTAATGAACCAACTTTGGCCTTTTGACTAGTAAACATGTCATTCAAAGATGTTTCACAGGATGTTTGGCCATTTTCCTTGAAGATATCATGTCAGGTGCATAGTCCCAAGGCCCCTATGTTTTATTACACTCTCGTGATTTTGCTTTTTTTTTTTTTTCAGTGTCTTCACGAAAGAGCCAGATCCCACATGGACACTAGCCTGCTGCAAGTCATAATGGAGGGTGACCTCAGAAAAACACAGTTGCTCATGAATGTCAACATCTGGGTAGCCTGGACTGCAGACACTGAGAGAAATTTAAGATCTAACCACCGAGAGCTGTACTTGAGGCTGTGAATCTAGAAAAAGCCTGCACAGTCACTCAAAACATGAAACCAATTTCTTTTTTAGTGAATTGTCTATTGGATCTGTATCGAAAAATCTCTAATAACATTCCTATCTCATCTCCGAAGGAGATTTAGGAAATAAAAACCAGACTGTGGAAAGAAAGCCTTTTGATGAACAGGCCTTAGCAGCTAGACTTCTATTACAGAGTCCAAGTGCCATCTTCCAAAAAGGGAGCCCAGATATCAGTATAAGCTAACTTCTGCTTACTGTTTTGTTTTCTTTATTCTTCTATATACTTTGTAGTCCATTTCCCCCGCCATGGGATGCTGTTCTAATTACTTCACTATTAAGTCAATGGTGGCATTGCATGAATGGAAGCTGTTTAGCTAATATCTAAATTTCCTATTTACTAGAGTAGATGTGTTTCCTAAGGTGTGAGTCCTTCACAACTAGAGTGCAATAGAGCAGAAAAGTCTCGGGCAACTTTTCAAAGTGTTTTCCTGATCAGCTGGCAACTAGAAGAAAGGGCTTGGAGAGATCAGCCACACCGCTGGCATCTATAAGCAGGACCAACAAACAGCTGCTATGATACAGAAGCTCGACCCACAGACATGCAGCAGGAGAAAGTCTACCAGGGAAATAATTCAGGTGACACTGAAGTTTGCCCTTTCCAGAGTACCTGTGAAGCTACTTGGTCCTGACGTTCTAGGGGCCTGAGCGAACACTCTGCTCACAGAATGTAAACAGAAATAGGCTACTCTGTGGAACAAATGCAAAACAAACAGATCCCAGTCAGCCTAGGGAATAAGCATGTTTCCCCTCCAGTCCCTAAGGCTGCAGTCAATATAATTTTAGCCAGACTTGTTCTGCCATTGCTTACATTAATTATATTGGGCAATTCTCACTTGAATTGGAAATTGCCCAATGATTCAAAAGCTAAACAGTTTTTAAATTATTGGCTGTATGACTGGGCTACAAGAATTGGCTCTGGATGATTCCTAGTGACAGCTAAGAAGTTTCAAACATTCATTACATTGAAGGGACAATCAACATCGCTATTAAAGTCTACAAAAATACATTTCCCACAAGGGTTCAAAAGCCAATCAAAGGAAATCACAAACACAATTAGCAGCACCAGGTCTCCAGACCTAATGATTTTGTTTACAGGAATTACTGAAAAGCTGCTGTTTCAGCACAAAAGTCGTTCCCTTCTTCCTGGTACCTGTGTGTCTAACTGTCAAAGTAATGATACGTTATTGTAAAATAATTGCCAAGTTGTCTGAAAAGTATCTTCTATCTTTTAAAAAGATTGGGTTTAGAATACATCAGAATAAAGCTCAAAGGGCGAGGAGAAAGAATTAATTCACAAACTCAATGTAGTTTGCCGGGAGCATGCCGGTTCTCCCGGTCCTCTGCACGGTGCCATACATCCAGCCATCGTCAATGGGCTGCACATTGACAATGTAGTCGCCATCTCGGAAGGAAACCTCATCTTCATCCTGGGCACTGTAATCATACATGGCTCGGTAGGTCCTCTGTGAAAGGAAGAAATGATTAGCCAAAGCATTCCCATGTAGTCACAGTTACAAATCTCCAGTCTTGGGCTCCACAAACCAACACACTTGTAAAATGATGAGTAAGAAGGCTTGCAGGTACGGCTGTCTCGGGGACTCTGTAAACCAGAGCCTACCATCTAATTATATTAATCTCATTTGTTCATCTAGAAAAAAACTACATTAAGTGTCAGAGTGGTGATCAAGAAAGAAGCTACTATAGCTAGAAAAAACAATAATGAAAGATAATAATGGGGCTGGAGAGATGGCCCAGCAGTTAAGAGTACTGGCTGCTCTTGCAGAGGACCCCGGTTCGATTCCCAGCACCCACATGGCAGCTAACAACCGTCTGTAACTCCAGTTCCAGAGGAATCTGACACCTTCCTCTGATCTCTGCAGGCATTACATGATAAGGATGCACTTATATGCACATAAAATAAAAATAACAAATAAAAATATTAAAAATAAAGATAATAAATAAAACAGTGGACCTGTCAAAAAGGAGCCTGTGAAAGAGTAAGGCAACCCCCACCTCCAGATAATCCCAGATGTGCTAGATGGCATAGATTTTCCCTGGCTCCCCTTGTCCTTCAGGGAACAAAAGCCCATAATAACAAGACAAGTCCGCATCCTCCTGATCTCTGCCACTAGCTCCCCTGCACAATGAACTTTTCCTAGGTAAGTACCTAAAGGTTTTTGTTTCCCCTTAAAAATAAGCCAAATAAAAATTCATAACATACTTATTTATACATTCCTAACATGGTGATAGAAATTTCAATATAAATGTTCCAATTATTGATGCACATATATAAAGAAAACTTTGTTATAATGAGGACATTTTAAATAGTGTCTGTGTATTTGTTTTGGTTTAATGCTAAAGAGTTTAGCTAATACAAATAAGCAGTAAATCTCAAAGTCAAGAGTATTGATAGACTAAGGAAACTGACATATGCACAACGGACTTGAGATCAATTAGCTATCCCAGAAGAGTCACCTACTTCTAAATGTCCATCAAAGGCCAAGGGACTGTGACCTCGCTGGGAGAAGCAATTTCAGCACAAGATGCCACATATGACTACAGGGAGCAAACAGCGCTTCCAAACTTGACTCTTGAAGAATGACTTGGTATCTCAAGACTTCCAGTAGGGGAATTTTAAAGTCATTCTCTTATTAATAGATTTTTAATTGACATACAGTAATTGTACAGATTCGGGGATACAGTTTGGCATTTCAAGATTTGAATGCAATATGTGTTAGATCAGGGTAACTGGCATATCTGCCACCTCAGACTATATCATTTTTTATTCTTAGAATAGTCAAGATTCTATTAGATATTTTCTCTATGTCCATTACATGTCTGCAGTCATTGTGGTGAAGAGGAAGGTTAGGTCTTCACTATGACCATCAAATATCTGTATCTTCTCAGGCCTGAATGAAGACAATAACTGGATAATTCCAGGCATGGAAGAACAATTAGGATATCATATTGGTAGATGCTCTGTTTCCCTCACTGTCTACTGAAGTATGCACTAATGCTTTCATTTCTCAACACTGCCTCCATAAGGTTTCTGCTTCTATCAAAGGAGCCATAGCAATAGTAACATGGCATCATTTATCTAAATACAAAAAGGTTCTAGATTCAACTTAACCACACTCCATGTGTATTTCTATTTCTGCATTGAAATGGGAAGACTGAATAAGAACAAATTTCTTTTTTAGTGCTCAGAGTTGAACCCAGGGCCGTATACTTGTTGGGCAAGCACTCTACCGCCAAGCTACACCCCAAGGTGCAAGGAATGTTTGCAACCAGTACTTACTAGATTTGGTGTATGTTGCATCGACCTCATAGATGACACACTGGTCTGGTGCATGTACCCATAGCCTTGGGAATGACTCTGCTGGTAAGCTCCAGGGAGAACAGGCGCTGCACACGGACACACAGATTGCTCAGGTTAGCCTCCAAACACTCCACCCAAGCCCATGTGACTGCACACACTGCCAAGTTTCTAAAACAAATGTTTTCAGTGCGGTGTGAAAGTTGAGGAGCAGCATGATAGGCAGTCTCCATTAGTCCAAACCTCAGTAGTTAAATTGATGAATTTAAAATCAGTTTATCATGCAGTCAAATATGTTTTAATATTGTTATTAATCTACTGTAGATGTTGTGAAAAAATAAAAAAAATTCACCAGAATCTCTTAACAAAAAAAAAATGCTTTTATTTGACCATTTAAACCTTGAGACATCCCCCCCACACAAAAGAATGTAAAAGGAATTTAATCAGAGCAGCCAATCAATGGCAAAGTATCTGTGTTCTCACAGGACTGCTCCTGCAATAGATACATGGAGTAGACATTTAGAGACATGCAAAGCTGGTGCATATATTTAGTAGTATGTGCTTGTTCAAAACATAATCTCTTTATATACTCTCTAAAGAGACCTTTATTGAGACTATATGAATTATTTTCACTTTGATCATAAATCAAAACTATATAAATCAGTTGAGTTTTATTTTTGCTAAAGACTGAAAAACCAGACCACCTGAGTAAGTGAAGGCAGAATAGTTGGCCCCATATCTATAGCACCTGCTGCAAGGCTCAAGGAACATGGTGGAAGAGGAGGGCAGAAGGACGTAAGAGCTGGAGGGTGGGAGGAGAGCTGTGAGAAGATGTCTCTTTTTGGACTCAACATAGCCATTGCACTCATGAACTCACCGCACTGTGGTTCCCCACAGAAGATCTGAACAAAACATGGCCAGTCAACATTTCATCATGGATGGAGGAGGAGCTCATGAGGCCCCATTCCTCTCTGAGAGACTACTGGCAGTTAATGATTGCTGGGGGAAGGGGTACCATTACCTTTAGTGGTGTAACCACTGATAAGCTGCCCACAATCTAGTTAGTAAATAACCTCTCTCCCACGTTCCTGGAAACAACCATAATTAAACTCAGTTACGTTCAGTGAGTCGCACTCACATACAACAGACAAGAAAGCAGTAAGACTTGTTGGGGAGAAGAAGGTTTCAGTGGGAGCGGTATGGGGGATGGAAGAGGGCAACAGGGTGTGTGAGTACGAAAACAACTAAAATTCATTGTATACGTGTATGGAACTGTCAAAGAATAAGAACAAAAAGTAAATTTAGAAAAGAACTTCATACACATTCCTGTGTCATGTTCAAATACATCAAAATGGTATTCACTGTCAGGGATGTTGTCAAAATAGATGAAGAGCTACAAAGCAATCAGTGGATGCTGAGGGAGGAAGAATCTGTCTTCTCCAGAGACGAGCTCCCTGAGAGGTTATAGAATCCCTAAACACAGTTACACGTGAGCACCTCTAAATGGATTCTGTGTACTACATATGTATATGATGACATGACCATAAATGTTTAGGTTTCCACTCTTGCTAAGAATGAGGTCTTCCTGTGTGGGACAGGAAGCTGGAAGGAATGGCCATTCACTTATTCTTTCAACTCTCAGCAAGTGTTTCTCGGTTAAACTGCAGCTTACTGCAATGCCTGTCACACAGCGAGCCTCCATAGCTATTAGCAGTAATGACTGGCCACAAAACTCCAGGCAGGCCAGGAATAGAGGAAAGACAGAAAAATTGCCTCCTGGAGCCAAGATGGCCCTGGGAAAGCCAGCCTTTCACCCAATTAGGGAGATGGTTCTGGACACCTAGGAATTTCCAATTAAATGTATAAATTAATGATGTGGAGTATATACCCCGGGCTGGGGTCTTAAATTTGTTTTTCACCATTTAAACTGGTCTTTTCTTCTTTAACTAATACCTGAATCTATTTATAAATTTTAAAGATTATTTAAACCCTTTTCTTCCTTTACTTGAAAGAAAAAATTTTGATTCTAACCCACAGTTACACCATTTAATTATGAACCTAATTTTTTTTTTTTTTTTTTTTTTTTTAAACTTATTTTAGCTGCTGCTGAAAATCAGAATCTGGAAGAGCTAACTCGCTATAGACCAGGCTGGCCTTGGACTCACAGAGATCCACCTGCCTCTGCCTCCGGAGTGCTGGGATTAAAGGCGTGCGCCACCACACCCAGCCCTTTAAATTTTTATGTAAGGAATTAAATAGGACCATCATAAAATATTTTGGGACAAAAATGTTTCGGTAAAAAGATATTAGAGAAGAATATGCTCTCTCAGACCCTGCAATTCACAGTTCTCGCGTTACTTTTCCAGTTTTGTGCTTGTCAGTACTGGTAATGTTTGCTTAACAGCTCTCTCTAATTTTAGCTTGAGAAACCCAAGCATTGCTGCCCTAAAACGGAAGCAGTAGCTATTGCTGATACAGTAAGTAAAGAGAGGATACAGTGTTAGTCCTAAAGAGGTATGAGTTGAAGCAGGGAGAGAACTGAGTGAGAGCCATGGCAGAGCACGTCCGATCCACCCAGCCTCCGTGGTGTCTCATGATTTTATTGATTATTCTCATTTCCCTTTCTAGCGGAATTACTTAATAGAAAGTTCCTTTGGAATCATAAAACTTTGTCATCTGTCTTATGACCAGTGTACTGAAAGATTTTAGGAAGAGCCAATATTAAGACTCTGAAAAACAGCACTGAGATCTCAAACGTGTAAAAACAAATGATAATTTTTAAAAAGAGGCATGGACACTCATTGTGTGACATGAATGCTTTTCTTGAGTGCTTTTCTTGAGGAAGCATTCTTAAGAAAACAAGCAAAGAGGACATTTAAATAGATGGCTTTGAAAATTCAGGTTAAGAACTCAGTAAATGATGGCTCAGTGAATCTCTGCATGAGATTTCGTCCACGAAGTAAGGACTTGGAACTGTTGAGGTAAAAGCAAGACTGTAGGCTAATTTTGCAACAAAAAAGGGGTTACTTGTAAAAGAGAAGATGCACAGGGTGGCCTTTTATTAAGCTTAGTGCAGATCATGAGTGCAGATGAGTAATTACAAGCACGCAGTGCTTTTCAGACCCAAGAGTCTTGCGTTTGAGGGATTTTCATTTTCAGGTTTGATTTGGAATATCCTACAATCTGATGAAATCAGAATGTGTCTTCTGTACTGTGAAGTTCTTCCACACACCATGGGTACCAAAAATGTTTACTAAATGTTAATTCTTAAAGCAAAGGATTCAATGAATCAATGAACAATGAATCAATGAATAAATCAATGATTAAATCAACGAATAAATCAATGAATAATGAATCAATGAATAAATAGGAAGATCTTAGAGCTGACGATGAAACCTTTAAGAGGTTTAAGAAATCTGAACTGGGAAAAAAAGAGGAAATAGATATAAATGTGCAAAGTTAATCAAGTGACTCAAGGAGATGCACTCATTATAAAAGAGGAAAATTACCACCAAACAAGCCCAGTTTGGGAGTTGGACCCACAGTGGCAGAGGAAGGAAGTGAGGGCCATTTTAATGTCCTTGGTGTGCATGACACTTTGCATATTATAACAACTCTCTCTAAAATAAGTTTCATTCCCATAATTTAAAATGAATGCTGAGAGATTAAGCAGGAAGGCAGGAGAATGGTTGCCTTTCTTGAGGAAGGCACAATCCAGGGCTCAAGACAGTGAAGACCAAGTGAGGGTTTAAAGACCTCACCTGAGTAGGTCAGTAATGATCAAAGTCCCATTGGTAAAAGAGAAAAAAAGGCTTTACTGGTTGATATAATGTGAGCTGAGAAAAAAATTCAAGGGTTGTTTTTTTTTTCTTTCTTCATACAGCCTTACTATTTTGCAAATCCAAAGTAAAGAGAAAAGTGCCCTTCAGAAATTCTCCAATAATGAATTCAGGACACAGTGAAATGAAATGAATTGTCATAACTTTCTAACACTTCAGTTTTAGCAGCTAAGACATGTTAAAGAACTTAATGAGATTTTGTTTGTTTGAGTTTTAGAGCAATGAATCTCTCTTTAGACAATCAGAAAATACTTCCTAAGAAAGAAAGAAGATGCTGTTTATTTGAAAGTAGATATTAATGAGTTAAGTCCTTTCTAGATATCCTCTTGTCCAGTGACTGAGCCATTAGGAGAGATGGCTGGTTAAAAAAAATTAGTCTCCCACTCCCCCCCAAAAAATGTTGTCTCATGATATGATAATATGACCTTTTTTGTTTAAAAAAAAAAAGCTTTAGATTTTTTTTTATTACGTTTATTTATTTGTGTATGGGGGGATACATTCTATGACATGCCTGTGGAGGTCAGAGGACAATGTGGGAGTCAGTGGAACCTGAGAATCAAACTCAGGTGGTCAGGCTTGGTGGCAAGCACCCTTACCCACTGTGCCATCTCATTGGCCCTCACATAGCTTTTAAACATATCTTTGAGTTTCATGTCAGAGTCTCAAGCCCTCATGGCACCAGAGTCCCCCAGAAAGTACAGATGCAAGCTAAAGCCACCAAGTCCATGCTTAATGCAGCAGAAACACGCCAGTTTTTAATCTGAGGGAAATTTTTATACTAATGGAAATTTTTTTTTCTTTCTCTTAAGAAGACAGAAACAAGGCAGATGGCCTCTAGGTTTTAGTTTGTTGTTTTTTAATGATGAGCTGTAAACAGAAAACTATTTAAGAAATATATTTGTCACCTAATAAACTAAGAACCAATAAAATTAATATAAAAGGCATAGTATAGAACTAAGTTTTAAAAAATCAAGTTTTAAAGACATGACTAATCAGCATTGTGATAAAATAATTGCTCACGCTTGGAAGTCATATGTAAACATGCAGCCAAGGTTGGCTCCATTGCAAGTAACTGACCCTTCTTGTCTCATTTTCCCCTCACTATACCTGCTAGGGTTGAACATTCCATATAAAAAAGAATAATGGTCCCAAGATTTAGTGCCTATCATTTAAGTCCAAACCCAAACTACTGACTGTTCTAAAGTAAAGTGATCATGGAAGATAGTACAGGACAGTGTAAGAGCAATTTC